TTGGCGACGGGATCGCCGACAATCTTGAATGCGTTGGCCACGCTCGCGGACCCCACCCACTTCTCGATTGCATGGGCCACCAGCTCCGTCGCAACCGCATTATGACACCTTGCAGCGATGATCGTAAGGGAGCTCGCGCTCGGAGCCAGCGTCGACCTTCACCGCGGGCTCCTCCGAAGCCATGATGGCGAGCGTCTCCTCAAGCTTCTTGACCTTGATCTCCAGAGCTGAGACATGAGTTTCCAGACGCGACTGTCTGCTTTCAACGTGTCCTACGCGTCGCTCCACATGCGCACTGAGTGATGCACAAGCAGTCTGTACTGTGGTGCCGAGCGCACCGATCTGGCCCTTGATGTCTTCGAGGGCTGCGAGCATCTCGGACTTGTTTGCGTCCACCATGCTGCGAATGGCGACCATGGGCGTCTGGGAAGGTAGGGGGCTCACCACCTGACCGGATCATGATATTCAGCTGTTTGGTGCTTCCGTGGAAGACCGCCATCATGATGAGGACGCCTTTGCCGCTTGAGCCCATCGATACATCCCTGACCCTTTTCCCGCCATTGCGTCGACCTTCGCAAGACTTCTGGATCTGCAAGACACCCACAGGCAGTGGAAGTGAAGAAAGCGGAAGAGGTAACCGCGAGAGAAAAAAAGACAACTTCTTAGCGAATGAGCGTTGCTGCGAGGAGGGTAGATCGTGCGAGAAAAGGTTGGCCAGAGGCCGCTGATTGACTCAACCGCCTCGGGAAAAAAAAATACTTGAGCCAAAATGGCTGCGGAGGATGTGCACCGATCCTCCTCCCCCACCTCCCTCAAACGTCTCTCAGACTCTTCACTGGGCTCCTTCCTCTCCCTTCGCCTGAAGCCTGGGCTCGCGCGCAAGAGGGCGCGATTGCACTCGTGTTGAGCCTATGTGGGCAACTGGCACTGCACGGGCACTCCCAACTTTTTGTAACGGGTCTTCCAATGTTTGCCCTTGTTCCTCCCAGTAATACCCTTTTTCCTGCTGCTTCTTGCGCGCTTCACCGCGAGACCCCAGCGCCTCCTGGATCCATGGAGCGGCCCTGGGGCCGTCACTGTCAGCGCCGCCCCGCAGCTCCTGCGCCCGGTGGCGCCGAGCTACCCGGGCCAAGCGGTCCTGCTGCCTTGCGCGCCGGCGCGGAGTGCCTGCTCGCGGCGCGCCCCGATCCGCCCCAGACTGAGCAGCATCTGACGCGGGGCGCGCGACGGGCCGATGCGCCGCAATGCCCCCCCCCTGCGGGTTTCCAGCAGCGCCCGGCTGCTGCTGCCGGCCCTTCGGCTGGCGAGGCGGCCCAGGGCTGCAGGCCTCCGAGAGCCTCGGGCAGGCTGGCCCGCGGCGGTCCCCCAGGCTGGCCCGGGAGCGGCTGCGTTCCGTGGCCTGTCGTCGCCCGTGGCCGCGGGGTGGGGATCCCCGGAAAAGCGGGCCGTCAAGCCGATCCTCACTGCGCGAGCGGCAAGCAGCTGATGCTGCAGTCCTGGAGGAGCAGCGGCCGCTGGTGCTGCCGGTGAGAAGGTGCGCAGGAACTGACGCCCTGAGGAGATTGGAATCGGTAACTACGCTTGCACAGACTGCGCGAGACGCTGCGTGCGACTTGATCGGGGTCGCTCCAGACACGCGGCAGAGAACGAACGTGAACACACCTCCTAACGAGCAGCTCAACATGTTCTGCTCCTTCAACAGGAGGGTTCCGACGTCCATGCCATGATCGACGCATTGCTGGTCAGAAAAATTAGGAGCTTCTGATAGTAGATAAGCAGACAAATGTCGTCTGCACAGACAGCCAAGGCGTTCTGCTAACTCAGTGTGATGCCCTTCCTCCCAACAACCCTAAGCGCAGCATGCAAAATCGCCGCCGTGATCACCCTCGAGTGCACAACTCGAGACGATGCTGTCGGCGGGGCGCAAGTTCCACCACCAGGCAACCTACCGCTGGCCAGTGGAACACTTTCTGGTCTTGGCTACACCAGTGAAGGGGCCCTGGGACACACAAATAAATACACACAAATACGAGGATCCCCCCATATTTTCCCATAGTTTCTGGGTTTCTGTCTTCCCCCCCACTTCCCATGTTTTCCCATATTTTCAGGGGAATCGACGATTAATTGTGTCTGTGTGTTTTTGTCCCCTCCTGAACCAGGGCTGGGGTTACCTCTGCCGCCTCCCAGGCCGAGCACCCAAGATGGGCAAGCTGCGGCAACGTCTGGGGCACGGTGCCGGCACGTCGACCGTCTCACACGGTGGCGTGTGCATCCGCCTCTCCGAGCCCATCCGAGCAGCTAGGGCAGCAGAGGCCGAGGAGGAGGAGGAGGAGGAGGAGGAGGAGGAGGAGCACAGGGGATGGACGTCCGAGCGATGGCGAGCTGGGCCGCGCCGCTCGTCTTGGGCCGCAGGTGGTAGGCATGGTAGGCGTGGTCTTAAGCACGCGGACGGGGGCATGGTAGGCTTTGGCCGCATCGCGCGTCAAGGTCAACCCAGGGCGCAGTCCACACTCGAGGCCGCATGCGCCTGCTCCACAGATCCTGTGCTGTGCGTGCACGTGTGGGGCCCCCTGGCTGCTCACGGGCAGGTTGTCACGACCCGAACGAAGTAGTACACCACGAGGCGAGGATCTATCCATATCCACCGCCTGGGACTCCGATGTCCTGGGACCCTGGGGGCGTGTATATGGATGCGCCATTGGCCTCAGGGTCCCAAGAAGAGTCCGAACCGAACTGGTAACCGTGAACCGGCGGCTCCTGCAACCGAACCGCCCGAACCGGAGCCCGAACCGGCCCGGGTCGAAACTGGACCGGGCGGTTCGAACCGAACCGGCCGGTCGAAACCGGCCCGAACGGCAAGCCCGAACCGGCTGGAACCGAACCGGGCCCCGGGACTCCCCACCGGCCCAAGAAAGCCCGGTGCCGGCACCCCCCACCCGGTGCCGGCACCCC